TTGTTTCATTGGCCCTCAGGTTCCCACTGCACTGTTTCTTCTCAAAGGCTCTGTTGATCAGCATTGTAATGTTCATCTTGGAGAATCTTTTTGTATCAGCATTTTATAAAAACAACCAAAACCAGGAAGGTAAATTGCTTGCTGGAAGAGGGCTCCTCTTGTCTGAGGAGCCTTGCTTGTCTAAGAGAGTATCAGGATTTAAGGAAAACCTTTGTCTTAGGCTGAGTCTGAAATGGTACTATAATATGCTTTTCTATAGCTCTTGTTTATTTTGTACAATTTTTCATTCTAAATTTTTGTTAAGAATTGATTATTGAAAAGAAAATTTATATTTAAACTGTAAATATATTGTCATTCAATATTAAGGTAACCAATGTTTTTTTTTTATTTGGAGTCTCACTTGCTGTCACCCCGGCTAGAATGCAGCAGCCACCGCAGCCTCGACCTGCTGGGCTCAGGCGATCCTCCTCAGCCTTCCAAATAGCTGGAACTACAGTTGTGCACCACCACATCCAGCTATTTTTTTTTATTTTTTGTGGAGACAAGATCTCGCTGTGTTGCCCAGGCTAGTCTCGAACTCATGGGTGCAGGCAGTCCTCTCACCTCTGCCTCCCAAAGTGCTATTTTTTAAAAAGTACAACCTAAGGTAGAAGTCCCAAGCTACTAGTGTTAAATTGGAAAATATCAGTAATTAAGAATATTTTATCCAAGGAATCCACTCATGGGAGCTCACTGAAACATTTCTTTTTCCATGTAAGTTTTAGCATTTTTCATAAGAGATTTTATGCTGTCTATACATCAGACCATTTTTGCTTGGGAAACCTTCAGAGATTCCACTTGAGCAATGTTGGAATCTGTTTGTACTCTCCAAAAGAAACCCAAGGAGCTCTCAGGTTAGCTTTGAACTGCCTCTTCTTGAGATTACTAAAGTGACTTCAGAGACCACCCTGAAGCCCTTAGACATACACACTATATATAACCCAGACTCAGCTCCTGGGTTGTGTCAGATATCACCACTCTAGATCAGCACTGGCTTCTAACTTCTAGGTGCTAACCAGAATGCCTTACTGCCATCTTTAAGGCCCTGACTGGGCTCTGTGTCCTATTAGCTTTAATGGAATTGTTCATAGGCCACGTTGCACTTGCTTCATCCAACGACAGTTTTGAAATGGGCACTTCTAGAGTGTTGGCATCTTTCATGGTGATCCATGCCTTCAGGTTCCTGGGACAGAAATCTTTGGTTATGGATGGCTCATAAAACAAAGCAGCTACTGCTATTTGTTTTTTAAGTTCATTTTAGTTATTTGTGTAGTTCATAAGACTGGCTAGGGCCAAAGGCAATTTTGAAATCAAATCTGTCAACTACAATAATATTTTTAAAAGAAAACAAATCCCACTTTTCCCGTTTGCCACAAAGAAAGCTCCCACAGGCCACTGGTTCTTTACCTCCTTGATAAACACATCATTATGTGAGGGCAGCCAGTGCCACCTTTGAAGTGTCTGACAGTGTGGCCAGGGTGAAGGCTTGCTGGTGCAGGAGGAAAACACCAAGTCAAAAGCAGTTTTCTAATTTTGATTTTACATTTTTTTATCTGTCTGAGACACTACTCCCTTTGTGGGGGACATTGGAAACCTCATTCAGAGGCCTTTGTTCTTCAAGAGCAGATGTCCTCAGCCTCAAATACATTGCTGTGTTGTATTCATGATGTGAAGAGGCTTTAACAAGGAGCTGCCCTGGAGTGGCCCTCTTTCCATTGTGTGCATGAAAGATTGATTTATAAAGAACAGGTCACCTTGTGATTCAACTTGGAATGTCTTCATTGCATACTTTTTTATTTTTGGAGTCAGAGTCGGAGTCTTATTCTTGTTGCCCAGGCTGGAGTATGTGGCATGCTCACTCAACCTGCTGGGCTCAGGCAGTCCTTCTGCCTCAGCCTTCCAAGTAGCTGGAACTACAGGTATGTGCCACCATGCTCAGCTGATTTTTTTTTTTTTTAATTTATTGTAGAGACGAGGTCTCACCAAGTTGTCCAGGCAGGTCTCGAACCCCTAGGCTCAGGCAATCCTTGCCTCCACCTCCTAAAGTGCTGGGATTACAGGTGTGAGTCTGGTTAATTCATACATTTTGATAGTTTTTTAAAATTGAATACTTGAGATTATATTGACTTTTCTTAGGATATGTGAAATGCTTTGCTGTGGGATGCTTGGCAGAGGCAATAGGCAACTCTTCAGTTCCTTAGTGTAACCTGTCTTCTTTTGCTTTGGTATCTTGAATGCTTAGAATGAAGAAGGTCCCTTCTTTGCCTCCTCTTGGTAGAAAGGGATAGCTCCCCAGTCTTACTGTCAGGAATGACACTCCAGCCTCCTTTTTGTTGTCATAGTAATAGGGTAGCTAATTGCCTCCTTCTTATACCCTAAAATCTACTTTTGTGCCATGAGAACTGGGTCTGACAAAGTAGAGAGAAGTGCAGAGTGGAACCGGGGAGGTAGTTGCCTGTAACTGTGAGACTGTAGACAGAAACAGACACTCATGTATTTTAAGATGTGAATGTGACTGAGGACTCCAGAGGCCTAGACGAGGCTGTGATTCTCGTTGCTATACATAGATGTTACAGACTTGTACTAACACACCTATAATTGATATTTGTTAAACCTCATTTATAAAAGCTTTAAAAAATATGAAATTTGTAGAACATCATGTGGCACAGAGTATATGCTCTATAAATGTCTGGTGTTAACTGTAGCTGTTTTTTTGTTTTGTTTTGTTTTGTTTGAGTTGGAGTCTCACTCTGTTGCCCAGACTGGAGTGCAGTGGCACGCTCCCGGCCACCACAGCCTCAACCTGATGGGCTCCGGCGATCCTTCCGCCTCAGCCTTCCGAGTAGCTGGAACTACAGGCATGCGCTACCACACCTGGCAAATTTTTTTTGTTTTATTGTAGAGATGAGGACTTGCCAAGTTGCCCAGGCAGGTCTCGAACCTGCAGGCTCAGACAATCCACTCACCTCAACCTCCCAAAGCGCGGGATTACAGGCTGAGCCACCGACCCTGGCTCTGTCTTTTAATCTATATAATTCTCCAAGCCTTTTTTTTTAAAACAATGTTAATTTGCAAAACAATAATAACCTCTTGGTTAGATTTTTCAGATTGTATATATCATTATTTTGAGATCCAGTTCAAGAAACAGTTATTAAATGCATACTATGTGTTAGGTGCTTTAGGGGGGCATATTTCAATAAGCTATATCCCCTGCCTTCCAGGAGTTTATAAACTGGTAGGAAAGATATGTTCATGGGATTACACAGGGCAAAATAGTAGTATACCCTGTAACACAAAAAAAATAACTCACAGGAGGCCTAGAGTAATTCCGAATGCTGGGAGTAAGTCAGGAGGTTCAGATGAAGAGGGTAGACATATCCAGGTGAAGTGAATAAAAAAAGTGGGAAAATTCATGGTACTTAAGGAAGAGTAACTGAACAGCATTGGTTAGGATGATTTTAAATGGGAGAGACCCAGCACAGGTAAGGACACAGCCTGGGAGCTACCCACTGTAGCATGGGAAAGCATGGCAAGGTAAAAATCGATAAGAGAGGACTGTAAGGAGGTGAAGTTGGCTCAAACATTTTTTTAAAATTTGAGTTGGAGTCTCACTCCGTTGTCCAGGCTAGAGTGCAATGGCACGCTCACAGCCAGCCTAGCATCGACTTGCTGGGTTCAGGCAATCCTTCCACCTCAGCCTTCCAAGTAGCCAGAACTACAGGCACACGCTACCACGCCTGGCTAATTTTTTGAAGAGATGAGGTCTCTTCAAAATTTGCCCAGGCTGTTCTCGAACCCATGGACTCAGTTCTCTCACCTTGGCCTCCCAAAGTGCTGGGATTACAGGCTTGAGTCACTGTGCCTGGCTGGTTAAACATTTTAGCACTAGTCCTGGGGAGGATGGTGATACCATTACTTATTATGTAAGAAGACTTTCCTTGACCTTTGGGATCTCTTAACTCTCCTTCTCTGAACATTTTCTCACGGCATCTTTGAGTGATTCCTATGCCTTCATCATTCTGCGTAGTCTTTAGTTGTAATACCCTCTAGGTTTCTTTGGCTTTTGAAATGGAGATAATTGGGTTTTATTTTTTATTTATGTTTTGGGTCAGAGTTTCACTCTGTCACCCGGGCTGGAATACAGTGGCATGATCATGGCTCACCACACCCTTATCTCTTGGGCTCTGGCGATCCTCCAGCTCCCAAGTAGCTGGAACTACAGGCAGGGGCCACCATGTCCAGTTACTTACTTATTTTGGCAGAGGTGAGGTCTCACTCTGTTGTCTAGACTGGTCTGAAACTCCTGGGCTCAAGCAGTCCTCCCTTCTTGGTCTCCCAAACTGCTGGGATTACAGGTGTAAGCCACCCTGCCCTGCAAGAATTGATTTTTAACTTTGAAAAAATCCCTGTTAAATCGTTTCATTAAACAGTGTTGCCAGAGTGAAAATAGGAAAAAACCCCTTTAATCTCCCCTAGCCCGGATGTGCTTTGAATCGTTTAGCTTGGTTGTTTCATCTCAACAGAAAAGGCTCTAAGTGAAGAGGAAGAAGAAAAGAGATATACTAATGACAAAATATTTTCTAGTTCAGAAAAATGCTTTGCTTGGTGAAATAGTTATAATTTTTAGATACAAAAGAAAAGAGTTTACAAATTACAAAAACTTTCTGATCTATGTGAGTAACTACATTATTCACTATACTTATGGTGGTAAACATTTGTTAAGAAAGTATAGAGCGTCTGGAAAGTTTTTATTTTTATTTTTTGCTGGTTGGTCCTCATTAGGATATTTTCTTTGAGTTCAGAATTGGTGTATTTTAGTCTCAGGAGGACCTAGTGTTGTAGGAGGTTTTGAGCAAGAAGCAAGACTCTGATACTTTGTGGATTGTTATCGCCCTGCAAGACCCTTCGCAACTTCCTCTCGCCGCCCACAGCAGAATACGGAAACCCTGCTGTGTCAGGCCACTTCTGCAATTAGACAGTTGCAATTTTAGGGGATCCTTTTTTCACACTATACCCTTCTGTTTTTAAACTTTCTTTACTTTTGAAAATGTGTGTCTTGAGGTGGAATACTCAATTGACCCTTCATCTCTCCTCTTTTTTTGCTGCCCTGCAGTGTTGCAGTTGAAACTCCAGCAGCGCCGGACCCGGGAAGAACTGGTGAGCCAAGGGATCATGCCACGTAAGTGTCTGTATGTCTTTCTCACTCTCTCAGCATGTGATAGAGTTGCTTTTAGGACTTGGTTTTATGTACCCAGTATGCGCTGGGAAGCACCTAACATAAAACAAGGACACTGGGTTTTATTTCCCCCTCCTTTCTTTCTTTCTTGGGACTTTCCATGTTTAGGGACTCTCAGTCACTAAATAGTTAAGATACCTAATTGACCAGATTCAGTGAAACAGAGAGCACTAAGTTTAAAGGGTGCCATTGAATCATCTTTAGCTTTGGAATTGTATCTTTAAAATGGTTTCCACGTCCTGATATACTTCCCTTTATAGGAGGGGCAGATCTTGAGGTGGGGGATTGTGAGGAAGAACCCACTTCTTGTATGTGCTTTGCCTTCATGGTTTGGTTCTTAGGAAGAGAAAACTCTTTTTTCTGATATTTTCAACCAGCCACAGTTTTATTTCAAGTGAGGTTTTCTAATGTTGGCATGTGTGAGCCTGACTGAGTGGAGTTGTTGATGGGGCTGTCACAGCACTGGACTCAGTGGGTGCAGAACTGCATCCCTTTGGGAAAAAATGAAACCAAACCTTGAAATTTGCTTATAATACCAACAGCTAGCCAGGCGTGGTAGCGCACACCTGTAATTCCAGCTACTTGGAAGGCTGAGGCGGAAGGGTCACCGGAGCCCAGCAGGTTGAGGCTGCAGTGGCTTGGAGTGGCCACTGCACTCCAGTCTGGGCGACAGAGTGAGACTGCAACTCAAAAAAAAAACAAACAAAAAAATACCAACAGCATTATAAAAAGTGTAGGAAGCTAGAGCCAGCAAGACTTTACTCTTTCTGATGTTTCTTTGTTAAGTCATCAGCAGAAAGTATAGACTTGCCCTCTTTTCTGGTGTATGTTATCATCACTTGGATATATTCTAGTGAAGAGGGGGAGATTTATATTTGTACACACACACACACACACACACCAACTTCAGACTTCCTTGTGGGAGAATTGATGTTTTTCACCTTAACTGAATACCTGCTGACCTATTACTATCCTATTTTTCTAACTCTTATTCACTCATCCTTTCAAAATATTTGAGTACCTCCTATGTGCCAGTTGATAAATCCAGCTCTTGCACACAGGAGATTTCTATTTAGAAGGGCAAGACCAGTAGTAAAAAAAGGAGACAAATAAATAAATGAGATTATTTCAGAGCATGGAAAGTGTTATTAAGTAAATTACTGGTTGGTGTGTTAACAAGTAACAGGAATGAGATGGGGTCGCTTTGGTTAAGATGGTCAAGAAAGGTCTCCCTAAGGTGGAAATACTTGAACTGAGGTCTAAAGGATGAGATAGAGCCAGTCATTCAAAGCAAGAAGAGAGCTCAGAGACAAGAAAAAGCAAGTGGAAGGGCCTGGTGCAGCAAGAGCTTGGTGTGTTTGAAAAGCATCAAGGAAGCCACTGTGGCTGGGGCATGTTGGAGGGAGGCAAGTGAAGATGGACAGGGTGGGTAGGGCTACAGCCACTGCCTCATCACCTACATAGAAGAGGTAGATTTGGTTCTTTTTTTTATTTTTTTAAAATCTTTTCTTAAAGACAGGATCTCATTATGTTGTCCAAGTTGGACTTGAACTCCTAGACGCAAGTAGCTGAGGCTACAGGGGCACACCACCATGTCTGGCTAGATTTGTTTTTAAGTACCATGAGAAGCCGTTGAAGACTTTTAAGCAAGTGAGGAAGAGATTTGATTTATGTCATGATAGTGATTTATGTCATTTCTTTTTTTTTCTTTTCTTTCTTTTTTTTTTTGAGTCAGAGTCTTACTCTGTCCCCCAGTGATATATGGCCACTGTAGCCTCTGTAGTCTCAACCTGCTGGGTTCAGGGAATCCTTCTACCTCAGCTTCCAAGTAACTGAAACCACAGGCGTGTGCCACCATACCTGGATAATTTTTTTAAAAAATTTATTGTAGAGACGAGATCTTGCCAATTTGCCCAGGCTGGTCTTGAACCCCTGAGCTCAGGCATTCCTCTTTCCTCCATCTCCCAAAGTGCTGAGATTACAGGCGTGAGCTACCACGTCCAGCTGTTAGGTTCATTTCTAAGAGTTAGAGCCTTATAGCAAAGTGTAAGGAGTCTGGGATTTATTTCTAATTTATATTCTAAGGATCAGTCAGAGAGCTTAATTCTCAAATTAATCTTTTGGTTTACTACAGTTCACTACCAAACTATTTACCTACATTTTTCAGTCTTCTTCTATGGAATCCTTCAGTGAAGGATTTCCCACTCTTAACCCTTAAAGTATTAGTTGGCTTGTGCAGTGGATCATAATGTGATCAAGTAGGGCAATGTAAAAGTACTTTACAGAACATTCCAGATCTGACAGCCCATACCTTTACAAGTTACCTAGTGTCTCATCTGCTTGTCCCTTTCAAAAGGCCATCATGTATTTATTGTCTACTTTGTGCCCAGACTGGTCCTAGATGCTACAGAAATTAAAGAAATAAGAGATGTGGTACTCCCTCTCAAGACATTGAACAGCCAAAATTTGGATAGCCAAAATGTACTATACACAAAATAAAAAGCAATTCATTATTGATCCATAGGGTGCTGACTGTAACTACGAGTGCTAGTTCTGAGAGCATAATGCTATTTCTCAGGATCTGTAGTATGTTTAGGGATCTAAACCCTGCATTCTTTTTCTGGTCTTTCATTTAATAACAGGAGCAACTGGAGATCATTGTTTAATGGATCTATTGATTATAATTTCCTTGCTTAGCATTTCTTGTAGTATTCCACATTGTTAAGACAAATGATGCTTCAGTTATTGCAGTTATTTGCTTATATGCTTATACTTCCTACTAGACCATAAACTCTCTGAGAAAGTGTATTATTTATATTTCTGTCCCCAGTTGGCACTGAATGAATGAAGACAGCCAGTTGTAGAGTGTAGTGTGTGTGTATGTGTGAGAAAGCATCAGAGAGACAGAAACAGATACCTCTCTGTTGCAAACCTGTTGGAATTCTGGGCATGGAATTTGAAACAACACTTTAATCCTGTCAGGAGCCCAGATTCTAAAATTGTTGTGAATATCTAATTGTATACTTTGGGTTGTTCTCTATATCTGTGAAGTGAGAATAATTGCCTTTCCTACAGGAATATAAATGACCTGCTTCTATGAGAATATTGCATTTTCCCATCTACCAAGAGCCACCTTATGCTATGGACACATTCTTGTTATTTAACTTTTCTAGTAAAGTAAGTAGGTAGCAAGCGTTTAATTTATGAGAGAATGTTGAGGCCTGGGAGTAGTCTCAGGTAAGAATTCTCTGCTCATCTTCATACCTGTTGGTATACAAATATTTCTTGAGTTCCCAAAGATAAGGCTCCTTTTTTTTTTTTTTTTTTTTGCCAACCCTCACCCAGTGAATAACCCTCCTTCACCACTACTCTGCATCCCCTACCTAACTCCTGTTATATCTCCAACATCCTCTGTCTCCCTGACACCCTATCACACTGCTATCTTCTACTAACCCTACTCCTTATCCTCTACTTCATGTTTTTTAAAGAAAATGTGAGCAGTACTGGGGACAAATTATAAATGGTCAGCAAGTTATTGTCGATATTTGGAGATTAGAAGTCAGAAAAAGTCATATCTCTTTTGAAATGCTTACTTTCATTCCCATTTTGTTGTTTCTGAAAGAGCCCTTATACTTGTTGTACAACTTAGAAGGCAGGCAGGGCCCTCAAGCTGGGAAGGTAGCAAACTGGTCATGACTGTATTTTGTCTCATCATTTCTAATTTATCCCTTTTATTGAATTCTTCTCAGTCCAGTCTTCTCTAGCTCTGGGAAGCATAAAATTCATCTACCTCACTTCCCAGAACATTCACACACAGTTCCCACGTATGACTAGCTATCAGCTTTGATATCTGTAGGCTTCAATGACTCCCTTCTCTTTAGTGTTGTTCATGTTTCTATATATTATTTAAAGTTGGAGCGTGGCCTTCCTATAAAGTTTAGGGGATTAAAGAATCCCTCAGTTCCTGTATACCTCTCTCTACTGCTTGATATGCTCTGTTCATGGCATCGCAACTGTGGGGTCTAGAAGTTGGTTTCAGATATGCTGTTAAACAGAATCATTTCCCAGTATCCTTTATTACTCTCATTATGTAAACATTTTTTTTTTATTTTTTGGAGTTGGAGTCTCACTCGGTCGCCCAGACTAGAGTGCAGTGGCCGCTCCCAGCCACCGCAGCCTCACCTGCTGGGCTCCAGCAATCCTTCCGCCTCAGCCTTCCGAGTAGCCGGAGTTACAGGCACACGCTACCACGCCCGGCTGATTGTTTTTTTGATTTATTGTAGAGATGAGGTCTTGTTGCCCAGGCGGGTCTCGAACCCGCGGGCTCAGGCAATCCACTCACCTCAACCTCCCAAAGGCGCGGGATTACAGGCTGAGCCACCGAGCCCGGCTATGTAAACATTTTTTAAACTTAACACCACTTAAACTCTACCAAATACTGAGTGTCAGATAGGGGAGGTTCACATAAACTTTCACTAATGATATCTGAAACTCTGCATATCCTGAGGGAGAGGGAAGATGGCATGCTTGGGGAACTGGTCTTTAAGTTTAAAGATTAAGACCAGGGATGGTGCTGCATCCAGGATGAAGATTCACAGAAGAGATGGCTTATGTGTGGTACACTTTGTTCTCAAACAAAGCTTCCCCCCAGTCTTTCTCTTTGATGTCTAAAGATATACAAGGTCATAAAGTTAAGGTAAAAATTAAGGAAAATGAGAGCTGATGCAGAGGAATAACCTTTTAAAGGAAAACATAGAAGTTCTCCTGACTTAGACAAATGAGAAAAAAAAGTCTCCTGCAATCTTTCTGTATGTGAGAGAAGAACCTCATTTGTCTCTTCTTCTCAACCTTTTATTCTGTTGGGAATAAAATCGTTGAGAAAAAACATAAAGTAGCATGTTTCTAATGCTGCAGCTAACCTTATTTCAATTCGTTATTTTTTC